ACATTTACGTAATACAAGAAATTAGCAATCAATAATTCAAGGTTATTTTGTAAGTTTTGTACCAACGGAAGACTATGTCTACATTAAATACATATTGGCAACTTAAGCTAAAAAAAATGCACTGTAACGGGAAATTCAGCTGTGAGAGAAGATGCCAGAAAGCGCGATGGATTTAATTTAGTCATTTTTAATTTGAAATTGGTGTCAGTTCTTTGGAATAGGAGCGTAAATTTCAGTGTAAAACCTATTAAAATTTTACGTTTCTGTGTGGATTTTGATGCTGTTAGCATTGAAATACTTGACAGTATCTCTGATGCAAGAAACACTGGCTAAATACATTTTAATTTAGAAATTAAGGTCAATCGAAAATTCGAAATTTCTGCTGTCAGGGCTATGTTGGTTCTTGCGAACCGATTGTTGCATCCAGTCGCTTATATTGAAAATAATATGATTTAAGAGAGTATTTCTTGCATCAGAGATAATTCAAAGTTTGCTAATGTTAACAGCATTATAATACATGCAGAAACATACATTTTTTATAGATATTAAAAATTTAGGCTCTATGACTTGTATACTATGTCTATTACAGTCTATAAGATTTTGAATCGATGCATGCATTCAAATTCAAATTAGGTCCACCCACGCCCCACGGCCAGTGTAGCTGTCAGCTGATCAGCTCACCTTCTTCAGAAGTGTGAAAGCTTTTGCCGGTGAAGGTGTGTTTTACGATCGGTCCATAAAGAAGTGTTGATCGGTTCAAAATGACATAAGAATAGGTTCTTTTGAATAACCTATGGATTGGCACCATGCTCGCGTATATTGTCAACTAAAATAGTAGAACTATTTTAGCTTTTTAAAGTACGGCGCATGGCGCATTTTTTTACCAGCATAGTACGGCGCACTGCGCAGGTCGTTAAAATGACAAAATAAATTCCCGCGCACCTGGCACATCTTCCTGACCATGGATGTAGGGAAGGTGAAACATAGAAATAACTGTGTAAAAATAATTGTAAGCAAACTGAAGCATGAAAAAATACCTGTAAGTGGTAACATAACAATCAGGTGAGCGTCTGGCCAAAATTTTTGAATATGGGTTTTTCTGGTTTTTAGTCTCCTCTTAAAGCTGACATTCTGCTCTATCCAATGGTACCAAAATCATCTCTGTATGCTGATTTGTGCGTTCAGGACAGATCATGAAAGGGGGGAGGGTGAGGGAGTTCTTTAACAAATTAGATAGGAGGTAATTCGGTTCCCAGCACTTTGAATACAGTGTCTGCTTGAGGTGCAGCTTAGTTACCTGTTTAGTCTCATCTTAAAGCTCACATTCTGCCCTATCCAACGGTACCATTACCATCTCTGTGTGATGATTTAGGTATGCGTTCAGGACAGATCATGAAAGGGGGAAGGGTGGGGGAGTTCTTTAACAAATTAGATAGGAGTAAATTTGGTTCATAGCACTTTAAATACAGTGCCTGCTTGAAGAACAGCTCTGTAATCCACCTGGCTTTGTACGATGAGGTATGCATGCAGTTGCTCCTACCATCCTTGAGTGAAATCGAGCTCCAGTACCATTTAGTTTTGTATCCTTACTACATTGAGTGCCTATTGCAATGCGCTCGGGACTTTGTCGGGCTGTACTGAACATTCGCACTTATTGTCACAGCAAACCTATCTCCTCCTACAGTTTTGAAGCTACAGCAATGAGACATATACCATTCAATTTGCAATTAAAATATCTATCGATTTATCTTGGTATTTTTGCAATTTTGTTATAGTTTTGAAAATATTTTTAAATAAGGGGGGAGAAATAGGGGAAAATAAAAAAAACTTTGAAAATTTTGTGAAAAATGCTCCCCCATCCACCAAAATTTGAATTTCGAAAAACGCAAAGATAAATCGATAGATATGGTCTTTATGCATCGTATGATGTGTGTCTCAATGTTGTAGCTTGAAAATCCTAGGAGGAGATAGATTTCTACAGTACCCCCTTTTTTGGTCGTTTTCTAAGAATTTCACATTTTCTTTCATTTTTCCAAAAATGGACATGATTAAAGGAATAGGAATCGGGGTGCGTGGTGACCTACGGTCACGACCTTTAAATCAGTCATACACGCTGCCTAAAAACTTTTACTAGCATCAAAAAATTTAAGTTCACACTCTTATGTTAACAAAAAAGTTCAAATATACCATATTCACAGCTGTCCTAAGAAAAAATATAAAAAATTTGACAATCGCAAAAAAGTAAAACCACGTACCTACTAAAACAATTAGGCACGTTGACACGTCTTCCCACCCTCCCCTCTCTCAACCCTCCATTCCTCAAGACCCCACTCATAACATCCTCCTCCTCTCCCTCATCCTCCACACGTTTTCCAAATATCTCTTCACACTCTCAAACATAGCCGCAGTTGCTCCCTCAGACAGACCCGTAATTATCGCCATCCACTTTTTGCTTGTTCTCTCATGCCCCACCTCGTTAGTCTCACCTCTCTCATTCAGAATCACCTCAATCATAGACTGACGCTCTCTCTCATATGCCCCACATTCCATCAACAAGTGCTCTACAGTTTCCTTCTCATCCCCATCACACATAAAAGCTGTCTATTTTTTTGGTTTTACAATGGTGTACCAAGTTTCAAAGTGATCCATCTGTAAACAGCCAAAAAAAAGTGGCCAGACACTCACCTTAACAAGTAACAACTAACATGTTGACACTAGTAGCAGGCTGAGGTTGACAACATTACACCAAAATCTTTCGTACAGTTTTATTCTGTAATTTATATTATGGAGGTATCATGCTGGTTTTTAAATAATATTTAATGCTATTGAGTAAGATCTAAAGGCTTTATCTCTGGATGTAGCCGTAAAATCTCGTATCGCTACTTAAATATGTAGCGGGCAGCGCCGCCGGGCGCTACCGCTAGAATTGCTTGAATGTAGCGCTGCTACCGCTACTGAAAATGTAGCGCTACTGCCCACCTCTGCATATAGCTGGTGAAGTGCCGTGGGACTGGATCAAGCAATGATTTGCATTTTGCCCTAGAGTGGGCCTAGACCTGAAGTAGAGTCCATAGTGGCAATCCAATATTTTGGCACATTTATTTTTAGATGCATTCAAAAATTTAAATTCAGTTCACATTTTGAAATTATTACTTTTTTGAATGAATATGCTTACTTACTTGCTTTTCTTACTTATATTGAGGCAATACAAAATAATATATTTATAATCAATGTAATCTATTTATAATAGATTATGAAGGCAAGTGATATAGATTGCCAGGCATAGATTGAGGCAGGTGCCAAACTTTGCATAGTTGGCTAAATCATCATAAATGGCTATCATTGCAAAGTGAAAGGTGGCTATTGTTTGGTAGAGGTCTCGTCTCTGACATTGTGAATGAGATGAAAATGTGCTAGCTTGTGATTAATTTTACCTATTTTCATGACCTTGCCCAAAGTTTCCTCAAGTAAAACACAAAATGAAAATTGCCTGTGAAATGATAGTTTTTACCCATTATTTTAGGAAAATTCTTTCAAATATTCCAGATCAGTTCCAATCTGGAACATTGGGCAAAAATTTTCAAAAACTATTGGTAAAACTACCTTTTTATGAAAAAGTTTCAGAAATTGCAGGCAAAAATGGATTGCTGTCTTATTTTTCATAAAAAATTAGGCTTAGGGTGAAACTGACTATAATTATTGGCATTTATTATCATGCTTGTGGGTAGCTTTTGGCTTCTGCCTAGTTTTCAGGAATGGGAATGGGTCAGTCACAAGCAAATGTTACAATTTTTTTGCAGGTGTGGTCCATGTGGAATATATCTACCTTCCAAACTGCAACTAGACTCAATCACTAAGCTTTCCTGCCATTTTTGAAGCCTCAAGATTCGCACTAGATTAATCTAGGGTAAATGCGGTATATTCCGACATCATGGGTAATTCCGACACTTCTCAACTTTTTCCTTTATATTAAGCTTTGTCTTAGTTCCACACATTTGTTGATGGTTGAAATAGTGATGTCATACTATTGCGCGCCATACTATTGCCAAAACACTAGGTCTGGGCCGTCTGGCGGGAAAATGTTAAGATCCAAGGAGAGACAGTGCACGTCACCCAGAGAGAACATTGAAAAACGTGTCAAAGTTGATAGTTGACCTTGCTCTACCAAATAGTGATAAACTGTTTGTGTAGAAAGAATATTATGGTTTTAGACTTTTAAATAAGTCTGTGAATATATTAGGAATTCTTTAAGTATACTTGTATTTGCTGATTTCAAGTGGTTAATAAATTAATAGATAATTAAGTTAAGCGGCAGTTTTAGACACATAAAAAAATTAAAATTTTCTCAATTATAAGCTTAACAGTTCTTAATTAAATGCTTAATTAAAAAATTAAAATTTTTTAATTAAGCTTGTTCCAAGCTGTGTCATTTTTCGATACATCTCACACAGGGCGTCGGAATTCCAACACAGGACGCCGGAATTACAAACTAATGAAGTTTGAAGCGCTGCTGGAATTAGTCTCACAATATTCTAAATTTAGTCACACACAGCATCAGAATTCAGGGATTTTTTAGGTTTGAATTCTAAAGACTTTTAAATAAATATGGCAACAGTTTGTGACGTTTCATCGTTGCTGGCGTGTAGTGTGGTGTTTTGAGAGTGACGTAAAGCAATGAGAACTCAAGTTGCGCATACTATGATATTTTTATTGCCATTCATTTCTTGCTACGTCCTTAATGTGTCGGAATATACCACTCTTACCCTAATTGGCAACAAAATGCCTGATTGAGAGGCAAATTTCAAAATTTATTGAAAATATGATTATTTGGAGATGCATTTTTGCCTTCAAATCCCAAAAATGACCTGCTAACTATTTATGCTCATGAATCATGATTTTTGGAGAATTCTGCATAATATTCCAGATTTGCCACTCTGTTTCCTAAGTGTATGTAATAATCTATTGGATTGAGTTACAACTTATATTTGAATTGTAACTCAATTATTGTTTAATGAATTTTTGGGTCCACAGACACTGTGACAACAGTCAATTTTATAAAATGGCTTCAGAAGAAAATTTGCTACAGGAAATAAAATTTAGAGATATGCTACAAGTAAGTTCTTTGTGTATGTGTGATCTTGAACCTTCATTTGTAATGTGACTTGTACAAAATACTTTTGTCTTGAATCCTCTGTCACCATGTTGGTAATCCACTCAGGTAAAATAATGATTCAAATGGAAGAATTTTATCGTTAAGTGCTTGTCCTGATTGTTTTTGCTTTTTTTCAAGGCCATGGTAGTATTTGTTGCCATAATTAAGATGTAAAAGTTCAATTAATGTGTGAGTGTGGGTTTGCCCCTTGAATAACACCAATTAATTTTTTTAACATCTTCTAGCTTCCTGAAAGAAAAATAATACCTACATTGAAACAAATATATTTTATTCCTAATTTTTTCAATTTATTGATGTTTTCTCAATCATAATACTCTTCAAATACCAGGAATTTGTGTTTAAATTTTTTTATTTTTTAGTAGTTGATTTAATTTTATTGGTTTTCAGGAGCTTAAACAAATGGTGCAGGAAGAAGTGAGTTCTATCCTTGATGAAAAATTGTCTGAGCTGCAGGAAAAGATTTTAAACATTCCTGTCATGACTGCTAGAATAAATGCCAAGCCCAGCATGGACACCGTAGACAACAAGGTCAAGAATGAGAAGTGGAGCATCAACAAAGATGCCTCGGAGTCCTGGTCTCCGGGCTACTCTAGTGCCCTGCACCAGTTGGATAAAACTCACACTCTAACAAGAGCTTTGACAAGATCTCATTCTATTGCGTAAGTATAAATAATGGCATAATGGCTATTATTATATCATTTCAGCATAAATTTTTTTCTCCGACCGCATAATATAGGTTATCTGACATGCACATCTTGAAAAACTTTATTTAAGTGAAGAAATAATTATTTAGTTTTTAAAATAATTTATTGGAAAACTGTATTTAATTGAAGTTGGCTTTATTTTTACAGAGAAGACCACTGATTTATTTTCCTGGTGCTTTCATAAAAGCCAAATTTAAAGTATTTGCACTTATACAGTTTTATGGTTTTGAACTTCATTTCTATTCTATAATTTCTAGATACACTTTTCTCTCAAGAATGTAAAAACATTTCTTAATGTAACATATATTGTTTACTCAAACATTACCACCCATTTTCTTATTTTTATGGATTTTGGAGAGAACATTAAAATTTGTCATCTTTTTCTCTGCGATGCAATTAGGTAAGACACATCTAAGGTTGTCCATGCCTGAATTTGTCCATCTAAGGTAGTCCATGCGCCTGATTAACTTCCTGATTTTGTTTGCAGAGGTCGCAGCGGTAAACCCACAGGTCGGGTATTTGTGTCACGTCCATCCTTGTTGACGGAGTTGCTGCAAGTCAGCCACATCTACAGTGTTTATAATATCTTTGTTGCCATCCTCTGCCTGCTGCTGGGACAGGAGCTGCTAGAAGAGGTTATCAAAACAGGCAGGTCAGTGAGTTATTTTTGAAGTTTTATTCTTCATTCTGATTTTTATTTATTTTTTTTCTCTCATCCCATCATAGATGTCTGTGTTGATTAACTGAAATAGGTATATTCTATTCAATCTATTTCAGTTCTTCTGTTGTCATGGTCTTCTGTTTAAAAGACAATTAGTTTTGCCATTGATGGTTTTTGATACTAAGAAAGGATCATAGATTGAAAATTTTTACAGTAAATAGATTTAATTCATGCCTAAAGTTGTTTACAGCTTAATTTTATGTATTCAATGTTACAGCATAAATTTTGGCAATGGCTTCTGGAGCACATGTGAATTATTATATAAAATTTAAGAAATAATAATAATAAATAATATAAAAGCAGAATCTTGTTCTAGGTATTGCAAGCTAGTGTCTTTTGTTTCAATTTATTGATAGTTTACTAATAATCATACTTTTCAAATACCTGGATTTGTGTTTAAAATCAAACTAAAATCATTTGCTCATAATTTAAGCTTACAGGGTTCCTAAACTATTTTTGCCTGAACAATTATTATAATTAATTTGCTTGAACAATTTACAGCATCAACTTGGAGCTGTCAATGGTGGCTTGGTGCTTTGGTCAGTTTGACCGCGTCATCGTGATCTGGCTAGGCATGTTCGTGAGCTGCTCAGTGGGCGTCTACACCGGCCTGCACTTGTGGTCCCACCTCAGGCCCAGGGGCCCTCGTAAGCATCCATGTCTCAGGCTTTGTTATGTCTCAAATCATAATTACCGTAATGATTAATTTGCCATTCTATTAAAATAAATGATTAATTTGTTCTTCTATTAAAATTAATGATTAATTTGTTCTTTTATTAAAATAAATGATTAATTTGCTCTTCTATTAAAATAAATGATTAATTTGAAGTTCTATTAAAATAAATGATTAATTTACCATACTATTAAAATAAATGATTAATTTACTCTTCTATTAAAGTAAATGATTAATTTGCCGTTCTATTAAAGTAAATTATTAATTTGCTCTTCTAATAAAATTACCGTAATGATTAATTTGCTGCACCCATATTTTAACTTCTACAAAACTATTTATGCTTGTTCACATTTACAAATTCTTGTTGTTTATAAATTTTTTCTTATTAGCTGCATGCTATAAAATTATCATACAAAGCTTCAAAAACAAAAAATTTCACATTTAGAAAGATTGATTTTAAATTGTGACTATTGGGAGCCCTTATAAACATGAAGGCAATTACTGCTTCCTATTTTGTATGTAATCTATTCATCTTTAATGTTCTCAATTTATTCATATTAATTCATCTCAACTGTTTCAAATTTACTTGGGTTGCATTCAAAAATTTTACTCGAGTCATGTTTATTAATTTGAAAGCTTTCTTTTTGATAATCATATATTCTCCAATTACCATTTAATTTTGAAACCAGATCACTTATGCAAGCATTTCAGGCTCTAATAAATGATCCCTAACAATTTGAAATTTTCAACACTTCAACTTACCATAAAGATGTATATATGAGATGCATGCCCCAAGTAAACCATTTAAACTGTATATTTACCTAACCTTTACTATGAAATGCAGGATTGCTCAATTATCTCATCATTCATTACAATATTTTTCACTCTTATTGCGTTTTCATTTCTGAGTGCTTATGGAATATTTGTTCTCTGATTTTCACTGATTTGCAATCAGCGATTGAACTATTAACGCACTGAATTTTTTATGTTGTCCTCTAGCAGTAATTCATTCAATGGACAATAATTATTTTTGGCTCTTGTCTAGAAATTTCATAACCCACGTCCTTACTAATGTGTTATATTCTAATGATCACATATTGCATATGATTTAAAAAATGCACAAATCCATTCACGGATGCTATAAATTTGCACGCACATTTTTATGATTTTAACTAGTTAGTTCCCCGAACTCATCACTTGTCCTCTCATCCTGCAAGAGAAGTTTTCATTATTTTTTCCTTGTCTTTAATTAAAAAATTTCTTCTTTTACAAAGTTTCCATGATTCCATGCATATCCAGCTTATTTAATATGTTTATTTAATTCCTGCTAAATAATTACCCTAAATTTGTTCATCACCATGGCATTGATTGGTTCTAACTATGCTTTTAAGTTCTCACTAATTATGCATGTTATTGATTCGTGCACGCTGTTCTCAAGGTGTCGTTGACGCCGTGTTCGGAACAGCCTTCCTTGTGTTCCTGTGCTCTTTGATGTACCTGCCTGCATCATACCTGGTGTTCTACGACCTCCCTCTTGCATCCTCTTTTATTGTTCTTAGTGAACAGGTGAACATTGCCACATTTTCTGCACTTAACAGGTGGACATTTGGTCATATTTCACACTCAACAGGTGAACGAACATTCGGCAATGTTTTGCACGTAACTGGTTAACATTGAACAATGAACTTGAATGATCAATTAAACAGGTTCAAAACAGGTTTTTTAATAAACATGTGAACAAAGGGAAAGGGTGGACATAAGGTTTGAACATGTGGATATAGGGCAGCAAACCTTGCTGATTCTATCTCTGTGAACTAAAGGTGGACACCCTAAAGGTTTCGATCTTGGTGAATTGGTGAAAGTTACTTTGAAATTTTCAATGAACAAGTTCAAATTTGGTAAAGAGGTAAACGCATGATATTCGGCTCTTCATTATTAATGAACAAACAAAAATTTAAGAGTGATGAGAATGATTTGAAAGATTATCTCTTGAGAACTTGAATCCATTTATTTGCTCATAATTTGAGCTTGCTGTAGTCCTTAATTATTCTTGTCTTGTTGTCAACAATAAGCCATTTTGCGTCAGTTCAACGCAGAGCAATAATAACCTCACAGAATTAGGCTAAAACAATGCATTGTTTGTATTTATTTATTTTACATTAAAACTTTGGAAATAATTTATGAACTCTTAGGACGGTTACGGAAAAGAATAGAGCTTACTGTTGTAAAAAATATTTAATTCCTACTTTCGTTGTAAATACTGAGCACATTTTTCATAGCGGTTCACAATGAAGATGCCGAATACCTTACGATCGGTAGGGTTTTTAGACAACCATATTCTGAATTTATCTGTTTAATTCAGATCCGATTCTTCATGAAGACCTGGGCGTTCGTCAGGAGCAACCTATGGCGTGCTATACGTCCCCAGCAGGTCGGACGTGTTGAGGTTCACAAGAAAACTGACGGCGATGACGTCACAGCCAAGACGCGAGCGACGCCTGACCACGACGTTCGTGTCGCGGTCGCCCCCTGCCCTGACTTCTCGCAGCATCTGTACTTCCTTTTTGTGCCCACTAAAGTAGCAGTGGACTTTGCTTAGGTTTTGGACTGACGTTTAGTTGTGTGTTGCAGGAGCAGCAGCATCAGCTGGGGCAAAGTAGCAGTGGACTTCACTCAGGTACTGGGTTGTATTTTCTACACACATTTCCTCTTCGTACGGTTCTGCATCCCAGTCTTCCAGCAGTTCGGCACCAGCAAGCCCTTTACTGCAGTAACGTTCTTATTTAATTAGGATTACTTAAGTTAATAGTTTATCTATTTTTTATTAATAACAGAAATTAATTTTTGGAAATGTCATCCTATGGAGTATTTTTATTCCTTATCAAAAGACTTTTATTTCGTCCTGCAATTCCTCGTTAATTTGATTATCTTCAATAATTTAGGTACCGGTATTTATAGCAATGAGTATTTTGTTGTAAAGTTATAAAATATCGTTTCCTAATTATCGATTTGATAATTAGTCTAAGATATCAATGTTTCTTCTCTATATCACTTTGAAAGGAATTTTAATCAATCCAATTTTAAGTACCATACTAAATATATTCTAATGATAACCGCATACCCGATGGTATTATCATCGGCAATCTTTTACTACTAGTATAACCAGCGAACCATTACCACTCGTATAACCAGCGAACCATTACCACTCGTATCACCATCGAACCATTGCCGCTAGTATCACCAGCGAACCATTACCACTAGTATCACCAGCGAACCATTACCACTCGTATCACCAGCGATCATTACCACTCGTGTCACCATCGAACCATTATCACTAGTATCACCATCAAACCATTGCCAGGCCCAGCTGATGGTGTCGGTATTTTCGTGCTGCTTCGCGGCGTCGCTGGTGCTGCTGTGCGCCTTCTTCGCCATCCTGCACGCCTGGATGAACGCCTTCGCCGAGATGACGCGCTTCTCTGACCGCATGTTCTACAAGGTCACAACTCGCCGCCAGTAAAGGCCGCCAGTAAAGGCGGCCAGTATAACTTTCCAGTACTAACTGCCACTATTTACGTGCTAATGGTCTCGTGTATAGTCTCTACTAGCAACGGAAGCACCCAGTTACCCTTTACACGAGACCAGTAGCATGATAATTAGTGGCGGTTGGTATTTGGAGGTTGTTGTGGCCGCCTCTATTGGCCGCTACTACTGTCCCCGTGTACAAGCGCTCTAGAATTTCATTATGTGTCTGTAATGTGGCGATGATAATTCTTTCATGTCGAGACATTCTTCATACTTTGTTTTATTTCATTGTAATAATTTTAAATGTCAAACCGAGTGATGTATCTTTATACGGTTAATTCTTGAAAGGAATGACTTTATTAGCTTGTTTCAGTTAAAATATTGCTGAACTGTACCATTAGGACTGGTGGAACTCTACGTCATACGCGCGTTTCTACCGCACGTGGAATTGCGTGGTGCACGACTGGCTCTACGAGTACGTGTACATGGAGCTGCATAGTGACGAGGTAGGGGAGAGCGCCGCACTTGCTATAAATTTAACTTTTAAGCTAGCCCTGTAGCCAACGGTCAACATAAACATGCACAGCTACACTTAGCCTCGCAGCTACGATGTCTCAATAGGAACACTGCAAGTCACACCAGTTCCGAAATGGCTAAAAGTCGTATCGCCGTATGCCACTGCTCCAGCCAGTATAGTCTTCGTGGAGGATACACCCTAGCATGCACCTACCTCCACACTTACCCCCACCTCCCCACCTTGCTGCAACCAATGAGGTTAGGTTAGGTTTAGGCAGGTTTGTTTGGGTGTAGAGGCGTGGTAGGCTCATGTAGTGTAGCCTCCAAGAAGACTGTACTGACTTGAACAGTGGCAACGGGCATACGGCGCTTATGGCTCTTATCAAATAAGTTCATTGCCTACTCGACCGTGTAGTATGCCTGCGCACGAGAAGGTACATGAAGTGATTATGGGAGAGGGCGATACTGGCTTCTAACATGCAACCAGAGGTAGGCCGCCTTTCAGCATTTCCTTATTTGCTGTTATGTAACTGTTATTTCTGGGTACCTTAACTGCACTGTTCTTACGTAACACTGTTGTTATGTATGTGCTGTGTCATTACCAAACATTTCATATTATGATATAATGTCTCGCTGCAGTGATCATTTCACTGCAGTGTCATGATGCACACGTGTATGATCAATAAATCTTGCTGTGTGCTCAGTCAGCCTCTCGAGGTGCTACCTGCTATGTCGCTGTGTTCTCTATGGTGTTGCTAGTACACAGCATTCTTCCCGGAGTAACACTTGCTGCTCTTCACTGCTGCTCTTCACTTCTGCTCCTCACTGCTGCTCTTCACTGCTGCTTCTCACTGTAACTTCCACCTGTTTCTGATCACCACTCCTCATAAGTACTTCTTTCCAATTACTTATATAAGTTATATCACGACATTATCACCACTAACACTAAAATGTTACAGTCGCGGTGGCGGCGGTACGCGTCACTGCTGTCTGTGTTCCTGATCTCGTCGGTGGTGCACGAGTACATCCTGGCCTTCGCATTCCGCTTCTTCTACCCCGTCCTGCTGCTCATGTTCGGCGGCTTCGGAGGTCCGTAGCATTAACTTCACTTGGTCCATTGCTCATCGAACATAATTAGTATATTGTTTATACGATATAGATCTTAGCATATAGCTTAAAGTAATAAAATCACTCGTTTGCTTGAATCGCAAATTCACCAAAAACGTAAAAGCAAATAAAACTCCACAAAATTAATATTTTTCTTTAAAGATAGTAAGTATGAATTTCTGTGGAGTTTTCTTCGCTTTTAAGTTTTTAGCATATAGTTATAGTGTAGGATATAGTGGAATATATATAGTGTAGGAAATAGTGGAATGGGTAAAGTAATGTTGGTGTCCACTCCTGTCTGCAATGTTCAGTTATGTTGGTGTTCACCCCCTGTCCTCCCCATTTTCTGTGGTGCTGTTGTTCTCTCCGTGTTCATTAGTGCTGATTTTCACTTTTTGTTCAGTGGTGCTGATGTTCATCAAGACACGTGCGCGGCAGTTCAACGTGTTCCTGTGGCTCTCACTTATCCTGGGCACGGGCATCCTGATGTGTCTCTACAGCATCGAGTGGTACGCGCGCCGCAACTGCCCCCCTGTTTACGTAAGTATCTACCATCTTTGTTGTTATTATATTTAAAATGCATCATTATCATAGATCTTATCATTGTAAACCTTCATAATCATTATCATAGCTCTCAACATTGTCCACTAACATAATCATTGTCATAGTTCTCATCATTGTACACAAATCATCCTTATAGTCATTCACTGCTGAGGTGAGACAACTAATGCTCTTACATAACTGTCCTGTGAACTTGTCAGCAGGATGATAATAATAGCGAACATTTACTGAGCCTACAGAAATGCTTGAATCGATAAACCTGTTACTATATCAATCGATGCAAATAGTTTCTTTAATAGTTTCAACATTACAATTATGGGTTGAAAATTAGTCGATTAAACTATTCTTTCATAATTAACGAGCTGGCTGTGAGGAATTTGTTATTACAAAAATAGCGGGTACCCCGACATTACGGTAGCTACTGTAATGCGGAACGGAGGTTACTACGAACTAGTTTTAAATGTAGTAGGGTTGTTGACTAAAGCTCTCATCCTCGTAGTACCTCTTCCTCTGATCTATATATGATGTATACATGTGGATTGCTGCTACTTTGATAAAGTACTACTACACATACCAAAGTAAAGTCATATTTTAATTTTTAAATCTAACTCTCCTCTCCATCTCACAATTTCCAGGATTCTACATTTAAAAAAATATTCCCAAGTTACATTCTGATACGCTAAGTATTCTGGACATGCGCCCTAACAGCTCCTATGTAGCTACGACGCTAGGCTTCAAACACACACACTTAGAATATATATTAGATGATACATGGAAAATAACGGATTTTTTTGATGGCAGGAAGGATTTGTGGATTTGCTGGTGCCTCGGAGCTGGTTCTGTGAAAGTCTTCAGGCGGCTGCTTGAAAACGACACGGCGTTCATCTTACAATATCTTGGCTGAACATCGCCGACCCGATCATTCCAGTTCACATGTAGATGATATCAGTAGAGAATAACGCAATTATGTTTTACACTACATCTTTTTCTAAGACATATAAGTGTAAGTTTTACACTAAGACTTTCTACATCTTTACACCACACTACATCAACTTCTAAGTCAAGATCACCCCATTTGACTTCCCTCGCCTAAATAACTTCAATCCAAACGACGATTACTACACTTTGTGATGTCGAACTGCAACCGTCGCTTCATTTAATGTTTATGTGAAATATTACAGCCACTCAAAGAATTATCTCACATCGAATTTGCCCCGCATTATATATACCTAGTTATGAGTTATATAGCACATGACCACAGAGATTAAGGAGCGCATATTATATTTACTGTTACGACAATAGAAAAAATAGAATAATTTGTTTTTCTTAAGCCCCACTTTAACAGGCTGAACCTCAACTTTCTGCCAACGTGATGCATAGCCAAAACATTGCAACAGGCTTAATTTATCATCAGGATTATTCAGAATAATTGATTATCGAGCATATTCTTGGCAAACGATTGATGCTCGAGTAATTTCTGTATTCATTATTTGCAAGAAGCGTCTGCTTTTATTGGGTGATTAACTAATGTATTTTTTCTAATTTTATTTTTTATTTTTTGCTCTAACAGCTTGGTTTTCTAGTTTAAATTGCCTAATAATCCTTATCTATATTCACCAAGATTGAAATTGTATTCCGTAACTCGTGTATAAATGAGAGTATAATATTTTGTTGATGTTCCTGTATTGTTATTGCTAGGTGAACGTGAGCTTATCATCCATGTATGAATACCATTAGCATTGAGATTTGATTCGTCGTTGTGTGTGGAATTCATAGTTAAAAGGACTGGTGTCCTTTTATTTTTGGTTACTTTTATACAAAATGTTATTTATTGTAATTCATAGTCAATAGATGTTGTGAGACGCGCGTGACGTTCATGTTGACACTCGTGGTTTCTCCTTCTCGTTTGGTATCAACGAGGAAGCTCGAGATTTTGTTGCTACTTCCAGTTTATTACTGTATTCCTGTCCAGCAACGCTAGCCTGACTGTATTCCTGTCCAGCAACGCCAGCCTGACTGTATTCCTGTCCAGCAACGCCAGCCTGACTGTATTCCTGTCCAGCAACGCCAGCCTGACTGTATTCTTGTCCAGCAGCGCCAGCCTGACTGTATTCTTGTCCAGCAGCGCCAGTCTGACTGTATTCTTGTCCAGCAGCGCCAGCCTGACTGTATTCCTGTTCAGCAGCGCCAGCCTGACTGTATTCTTGTTCAGCAGCGCCAGCCTGACTGTATTCCTGTTCAGCAGCACCAGCCTGACTGTATTCCTGTTCAGCAGCGCCAGCCTGACTGTATTCCTCGATACCATTACCGCTTTGACTTTTTAACACTTGCTATTCAATTCTGTCTGTATTGCTCATTTGTAACACTACCTAGTCTTCATGCATTCTTTATTTACAATGCTAGTCGGCTTTTTATATTTTTGCTATTTTAGTCTGCCTTTATTTCTCGACTGCAATTATAGTGTTGATTTATTCCTCAACTTCTATTCAAGTCTGACTTAATTAATCTTCAGAAGTACCATTCTTCTCTACTGTTCACTTAGTTGAATGATTGTACTTTGTTTTACCTTTATCGATGATTAATGTCGTGGCGCGAGTGACAGCAAGCCACTCCTGGGCTGTGGGTGCAAAATCCTGCAATTAGTGTTGTCAGGCTTAGAGAAAACATTTGGAATATGTTGATTAATGTGTCATAGTTTTATGCCTTATTTTATGAAATGCATTTATAATTTACGAAAATAATTGACAAGTTTTTAATACTCATTATACCTGCATCAAGTTCATAATGAATTTTCCTACATTTCGCTGTGTCAATTTACTAACGTGTTGTTAAACATGGTTGGTGTATGAACTTTGAATAAGTTAACTTTCAGCATTTTTAACAGTTAATAAATTTTTTTTGTGGCGAGTAGAACAGGCATGCTTTTTCACCGGTTTTGCCTTTTCGCTGTTACTTTATAATTCAGCCGTTAAAGTTTTAAATGAACGTATGAATATTATCTACATTGTGTTTCATTGTCAGTAGAACCATGGCATTGAAAGCTGAAGATGGGTTACATCTGACAGTTGAAAGTCACTGATAAAGGACAGTCGGTCAATGAAATGAATTAAACCGCTAAAAATAATACTGTTTCGCCACAACTACTGTAATACTCTATTTTCGGCCTCACGGTAAAAAGATTCAATCCATCAGCAAATTATTAATTCAACTCAAAATTTAAAAGCAAAGAATAGTCCACAAAAATTCATATCTTTATAGAAAACGTTTCGGAGTCCAGCTCCATCGTCAGTTCATCAGAGAGGCGCGGGTTCGATCCCAGCTCTGTGCGCCAGTTTCTGGTCAGAATCGGCGAGGAGGCCGGGCGGTTAAGCACAACAGAATTGTAGCAGTGAGTTGCGAGTTCGAGACCGCAAAATGCTGTGAATGTTATGCGATGTTAAGAATCGGCGACAGGCCTACCGCCTACGGCCTAATAAACGCTGACACCGCTATATTATTATGTACTAGTTCAAGCATGCTTCCAGTCTACGCTTTTTCAATCGTTCTGTATTTCAGTGTTAAAGCGGAAATTGTAATGCGGATTACAAACAACAAAGCCTGTTACTGTAACGTGGCACTGTGTTCATCTTGAAAGAAGGAGCCAAATTATTGATGAATACTCATGTAGGTAAGTAGATATAATAAATAAGTGATACACTCGGGAAGAAAATAAGCAGGAATTTCGGCCCTAAATAGAAATTTAAATTTCTCGTTTTGGTCGGCTGTCTGAGTACTGTGAGTAGGCACTAGGCTTTGCCGCTTCGCTGCCGTCAAATTTCAAAAGTCAATGCCTGAACGAGACGCGTCATCGGTCATAAGATGGTCGCGACGCCAGTCGGCAGCCGCCACTTGGTAGTTAAGTCAGTCACTTGCTAGATACTGCACACCACTCACTGCTAGATTCTAGTCAGAAATAGGTATGATTTGCTGTGCGGCCTGAGACTGAGAGGCTGAGCATGAGCAGTGAGGCTGAGAGCCTGAGGCCTGTGCCCAATTACCACTATATAACCGCAACATAGCTAGTTTTATTCTCAATAGAAAGTTGTCCTTCACAAGTTCAGATTTGTTTATACAATTTATTGTTTTTATTTCTAGACTGTAGCCTGTAGGTAATATCAATCAAGAATTTCCTTAAAGCACTAGCAAAAGAAAAGAAAAAAGATTTACAAAGTAATTTGTTGACATTTAGGCTATTTATGCCATTTTTCCATATTTTTCTAAAAAAATTAGTCATGGGCTCATGGCCACTCTTATCACTCTCGGGCCATTTAAGTGATAATTGAACTAAGACCCTGTTAATTGACCAAAATTATTAGGAATCTGGCTAATTTCATCCATTTATATAGCTTTTCCTAAATTTATTTTGTGAAAAATAAGGAAAACCATTTATATTCACCCAGACTGTACTAGTAAGTAGTAACTAGTAAGGAAAACCCAGGGTGCAGAGGGTGGAAGCAGTGTTGCCATACTCACCAATATATGGGTTTTTAAGCCTGAAGCATTGCCAACCATTTTCAAGATGCGTTGCTGGGTAATTTTCAATGAAAAGCCATTTACGCTGAGTAATGAAAAACTATTTACAAGCCACAAACTTATTTACAAGGTTGCATGCATGTGTTGCCCCAAATAACTAACTTTACCCTAAAAACAGTCCGATTGTATAGCAAGTGTCAACTGAACATGTGATAATGTAGTCTGACCACTCTAATGTGACCACAACTACGTAATGATAAACTTGTTGTTTACATTTTTTTGGCGGGAACTCATTGCAACTGATTTCCTGTCAAGCTTCACTGCATCCTGATCCATCCAACATACTGGAAACCTTACTTTTTTCTAAATAGTTGGCCAAAGACTGACAAATATATTAAATGCAAGAATTTCAATCTAAATGTGTCAGCAAGATCTTCTGAAGGCATAAATTTTGCTACTGAAGCGTCGCCAAAGATCTTGCAATATTCATCCACTCTCTGCACAGTGGAGGAAAACATCTGCCATCAAACGCCAGGATGCAGAAAGTGGGTGAATATCAGAAGATCTTTGGCTATGCATCAGGAGCAAAATTTATGCCTTCAGAAGATCTTGCCTACACATTTAGATTGAAATTATTGCATTTTGGATATTAAAAAATTTTTGGTAATGCTAACCACAGAACAGGAGGTGCACCAGTGGCTGCACCATTATATAAATTTGCAGTTTCCGGTTGGTCGGATGAGACAGCAAAGCACAATCCATATTCCACAAATTGGTAATTTCCGTTGCAGTGCAAATAACAATTGTCTACTGCAGTCATAGGAACAAACCAGAGATTTTTTAGAATCAGTTCATTTTAAATTTCCTAATTCACTCGAGATTTTAACCAATTTATTAAATATGATAATGCTAGAAACTGAAAAGCAAAGAAGTCCACAAAAATTCATATCTTTATAGAAAACGTTTTGGAGTCCAGCTCCATTGTCAGTTTGTAGAATCTAGAATATACATAGAAAGTCACAAGTTAATACAATTGAAAGCACAGAACACAATTAAAACCTAAATTTATAAGTAATAGGGCATAAAAACCTATCTATTCACAATTTCAAGGGGATAGGAGCTCACAGCTGAATTTAAACTGGGCCTAAGCTTAAAAATGTACTATGATTCTAAGATACGCAAATCTGAAGTACCGGAGGTAGAAGCTAACACCCTAAAGTCACTGTCAGAAACAGGCACATCACACTGCTTGGCATGAGTGCGCAGTGATGATGATGCTAGTATACATGAATATGATACTTTTTTGGTCTACTTATAGGACTCAAAAATGAACTTGAGGGAGAGTCTAAAAAAACTCTGCTTTGCCACTATGACTGCAGTACCTGTGGTGTTGATGACATGCTCATCAAAGTTGGTTGCATAAGTATTTTGATGAAAATTATGTTTGAAACACATCTTTCTAAGGGGCCAGAAAGGTCACTGGTCACTCTCTATGCCTCTTGGTCTCCTTGCAATCTATAACTTGCACATCATGTTGTTTTAGCATTGTCATCTCCACTCACAAAAGAGGTTCCCTTATGTTTGTCATCTTCCTTCACAAAAGAGGTTACCTTACACTTGTTATCTCCCCTCACAAAATAGGTTCCCTTATATTTGTCATCACAAAACTGTGCATAGAATGTCATAGATATAATTGTGCACCTGGCAACATAGAGTGAAAAGTATGTAATTAACCTAAACAATGATTTATTCCCCCCAAAAATATGATGGTTGTCACTAAAATATTCCTTCCTGTTTTAGGTACCTATGTTTGTACAATCTTTTTTTGTTATAGTGAATTCACTTAATCAAATTAAAATGATGTGAAATTACAAGCCTTCCTGTAAGCTTACAGATACAGAAAAGTGCTATATGGCTGCTGATATGAAGCTTGCAATGGACAAGGTTGTTGTAAATGATCAATGACATGTTCATGGATACGGTAATACCGTCAACTGGGGCTACTCAGGACTGGCGGGGTAACTCGGGACAGTCCTCCGACATGGCGTAAAACTGTTTTAGTAGCAAAACTAATTGGAATATTGCAAAACTAAATATAGTGGCATAAACGTCAACATTTTTCCTATCTATGTAGGTAGTATAAAGGAAGTCAAAATAAAATACTTAAAAAAAAACTTTTTAAAAAACCACGTTTTTCTTGTGGACTAAAAAGTAGAAAATAAATTGTGGCTCGCCCCCAAAAAACGTGTGTTGGACAGATTTATGATTAAAGCGAAAAGCACACAACACAAGAATTTTGGAAATTTGATGCTGAACGTACAGCCCTGGTCAATGTTACCCCGTCACGGCTGCCATTAGATGGTCACATTTTGCCCATTTGGTGGCAGCACCCCCCATTTGCAAACTATGACACTTTCCTAAAATTTTTCTTTTGCATATGTAACTAGAAGAGTTCTACTACAATGCATGGAGTTATTTGGAGTTATTTTACCAAAAAATAAAATTGATTTTACCACCCGGTCATAGATACCCCCATAGCTAGGGTAAAAAAGACCAGCGTTTTTTTTTAATTACATCAAAACTATGAGAGGCAGGAGCCAGCATTTTATTGTGAGTAAAGCTAGAGTATAGACCTGTATTTTGCATGTTTCAATTTAAGTTTAACTTATCTAGTAAAAAAATGGCATCATTTTGAAAAAAAGTGGTCAAAGTTACCCCAGTTTACGGTATGATGGTTGTCACTAAAACATTCCTTTCTGTTTCAGGTATGTTTTTCACAATCTTTTTTTCATAGTAAATTCACTTAACCCAATTAAAATGGTGTGAAATTACAAGTTGCCCCATTTGACGGGGCTACTCGGGACACTCTTTTTTTTTGCTTCTGGCACCTTATGAATAGCATATGGAATTTTTTTGAAGATGCCATTCGATAGCCCTCGCAAAGAGCTATAAAATGAGCCTAAACTTGTTTATGAAATGTTTCATGGTAAGAAGTTATTAAAAAAAACGCTCAAAACCGTCCCGAGTAGCCCTGGTTGATGGTATCACAATGATAATATGGCAATGTATGGATATGATAATATAGGTATCAATAAAGAAAAAACAATTAAAAATCACAGAAAATGTCATTTATTCTACATCTGCATTATTTAAAAGGATAGAGGAGGACTTCAGAGTACTGTTAGTACCGGCAATGGATGAGTACACTCTGTATGCTTCAAACATTTTAAAAATAAGTTTTATTTCAAGTCTCTTGGATTACCTTGTTCCCAGGACTAATTCGGGACTCTTTTATCCCGCATCTAGCACCTTACGACTAGCTTATAGAATTTTTTCAGAGATGCCATACAATAGACCTCGCAAATTCCTTTAAAATGAGCCCAAACTTGTTTATGGAAATATTTCAGGGAAAGAAGTTATTGATGATAAATGCTCAAAATCGTCCCTTATTGCCCCATTTGACGATGCCTCCCATCAATTATCACCATTTCAACACGTCCTCCTGTTTGTGTTTTAGGCTTTTTTATTTTCCTCTTCCAATTGCCAATCATTTGCTCATTGTTCAATACATAAAATCACCTCTACTTTGGTCAAAAATTAGAATAAGAGAATTTCTTTAAAAGTTTCTACTCATACTTCAATATCAATCACCCTTTCTAATTTTCAAAAAGACTGAGGTACCAGCAAGAGCTACCTATTTAATTAATAGCTGAAACTAGATGCTATACAATTTAAGTATCGTCTCTTGTACATTTTCATATTTAAATTTGAATAACATTTACCTACTTCTTTTACAATAGTGAGGGTATATCATAATATTCTGAAACAAAAATTTCTTCTTGCAGATTTCAAATTTATGATGAATGCTGCTAAGTTAATATATACTATGTATCAGAATTGACCAAACTTTATTGCACAAGTTTCAGAACTTTAGATTTCTGCAATTTTTCTGTATCTGTCCTTAATAGAATTAATAAGAGTATGCATGTACGGATTTATGTATATGTATTATTCCACCTCTATTATTTAATTTGTGTTGCTCAGTTACACATGTGAATAAAAGCTGCAAGTGTACTCAAATCAAGCATGTGTGATGCCTTTGTTTAGCATAAGTTAATGTGCTCGTGGGCTTCTGATGTAAATAGCTTGTGATTTGGATCTAGATTTGTAGATCTCATCAGATGACATTGTAATTTACTGTGATATTTTGTTGGCTATAGAAAAAAGCTTATACCTCACAGCCTCAGGACTCCCATCTGCCATATATACATGAGAAGTGTTCCTTTTGCCCTCAGCTTGATCTTTGAATATTTTTATTTTTATATTTCAGTTTGTCAATTCAGGAAAGAGTGTCCTATTCAAATATTTCATTGATGTTTTGTTTTATTTGGCAGATGGGAGGCTTGACTTTGAAGAAAGAACAGCTCACAAGGTAACGGCACACCTTTCATTTACTGGCAAGACTTGATCTGTCAAGAATAAAGCTGGAACCATCAATCCTCAGTCTTCCAAAGATAGAAAATCTTTTAATGCTTTGGTTGTACATATATTAATTGTGTATTTAATCAATAATGGCTCTGAAGATTCAATCACTTTTGTTGACATGGAAAGAGCTTGACTTGCACAACACTCAGCAGTCCATAGATGAGACAGCCACAGAACTCACGGCGAAACAGGACGAGAGCGACGTGTCCAGGAAGAAGCTCGTTGAGGCCATCAAGGAGTTCAAGAAAAATGTACCAGAAGATGTCAGGAAACAGGCTGCTCCTATCATCAAAAGCTTTCAGACCGAAATTGATAACTTGACAAGAAGGTGCAAGGTTGCTGACTCGGCTTTCCTGAAAGTTTATAAGATCTTGGTTGACATTGCCGATCCTGTACCTGCTCTGGAATATTGCATTGGGCTGGAGAAGAAGCTTGGCAAATATGCTGACTTGGAAATTGAAAACAAGAACCTCCGCGAAACTTTGAGTGAGTATAACGAAGAGTTTAAAGAAATTCGTAATCAAGACGTTACCATCAAAAACTTACGTGAGAAACTGAAGTCTTATGAAGACAACCTTTCGGAAAGTGTCACTTCAAAGATAAAGGAGGCAGAGAAAGAGCTCCAAGAGCAGTATTCTGAAAAAGAACGTCTGCTACAGGAGGTGCAAGCTGGCGCCATAAGGCGCATGGAGGAGGCCGAGGCAAAAACCAGGACACTGCAACATACACTGGAAGTCACGCAGTCGCAGCTCTTCGAACACAGGGGTAAAGTAGAAGAATTGTTAGCCGCTCATAGTGAAGAGGTCAACATCCTTGCTGATGACTTGGACCGTGCAAATCACCGGGCCATGCAGGCTGAGAAAGACGCTGCTAGGCTGCGCGAAATGCTCGAAAACGCAGCTAAAAAAATGTCCGATGAACCTGCAACGGTTTCTCAAATTGATGCTGATGCCGAAATGCTGGCGCGATCCTCCCTCGAAGTCGAGCTTTCGATCAAAGACAAGGAAGTTGTTCAGCTCGTGCAAGAAGTCAAGAAACTCCAGGCGGGATACAAGCAAGTTAGGGATGAAACGGAAACGAAGATCAACAACCTCGAGACGAAGTTGGCAGAAAAGAGTATGCTTGTCGATGATTTGCAGAAGATCCTTGATGAACAGAAAGACTACCAAGAAGTCAAGCGAGAGCTAGCGATTGTCAAATCAGTCGAGTTTGGCTCTTGCAGCGAAACTGACGACTGGAAACGTGAGAGCGCCCACGATAGTAGGCCTCTCGAGCTCCTGCTTATGGAGAAGAACAAATCTCTACAAAATGAGAACACGATCCTGAAAAAGGCAAATCTTGACCTAACCAAGCTCATTTCTGAATCAAATCAAGAAGTTTCATCACTCCGAACTCTGACTTCGGAACAAAAATGCCTTATAGGACAACTTGAAAGCGATTTGGCGTCCATGCAGTCCTTTTCGAGCGTCTACCGTGGAGAAGGTGAAGGGTGCCCTTCAGCGCCACAGATAATTGCCGAGGCCGTCAGAGGCTCGTCCGTCACTTCAGCTCCTGCAGGAGGTGAGCATGACGGTGCTGCGGCTGACGTCACTTCAATTCTGGACGAGGAATTAGACCAAACGTCGACTTCCGAGTCTCTTCTGTCGATCGTATCCGCCCAACGTGAGAGGTTCAGGTCGCGTAACGACGAACTTGAGGCTGAGCTCACGGCTAAGAATCAGCAAGTGACCCTCCTTCAGAACGAACTGGACGTCTTGCGATCGGACAACGTCAAACTTTACGAAAAAATCAGGTTTTTGCAGTCCTACCGTAACGAGCACACGTCAAACGTTACCAATGCTGAGTCTCGGTACAGCAACCAGTATGAGGAGTCGCTGGATCCGTTCCTGTCTTTCTCGAGGCAAGAAAGACTGCGTCGGTACAGCGCCCTCACTCCCTTCGAGAAAATGACTTTAGCTTTCGGTAGATCGGTTCTAAGCAATAAAACTGCCCGCACTGTAACATTCATCTACACGGCACTGGTTCATTGCCTCGTATTCATGGTGCTTTATAAACTAGCGCACACCGAGTCCTGCAAGAATGACATATCGCTAGACTGTGCTGAGCGGTTTGCTGAGCACATGCATCGGGAACACAACCTAGACGACTTCAATGGGTAACTCGCACAGTTTGAATTTGAGTTACTTTGTTTCTTAGCCATAACTGCTGGCGCTTCAAGGAGTTTAAATTCGAATCAAGTGGGGAAGCTTGTACGGATTTGATCAGTTTTGAGTGTTTATGCCTGGATATCGCGCTAAATTTCTGGGATAAAAAAATTTGAATGGTCTTTAAGGAAATAATGATTTGTTGTTTTTCATGAATTGTAACTGAAAATTATTTATTTATTTTGACCTTTTCGAGATTGCTTTTCTGCATTTAAATGACACGTCCTTTTTATTGCATGCACTCGGGGTGAGAAAAAGACGTGCAATGGTATTTTTAATGTAGTATAAGGAGTCGCGATTGCGAATTTAACGCACATTTCCTCGTGTTTTACACACGCTGAAGGTTTCGCTTCAATGTTGCTGATTATTTATTTAATTCACTGCTGGAATAAGGGTGCCGCTGACATGTGTTATGAATACCAGCCGAAAATGCGTCCAAACTTAGTTGAAATTAGCGTTAGCGCAGTACGCTCAGAGCGTTCGTAGGAAACCATCCTGTAGCGCACGTGGACGGTGTGGCGCACGTGGATGGTGTGGCGCACGTGGATGGTGTGGCGCACGTGGACGGTGTGGCGCACGTGGACGGTGTGGCGCAGGTGGACGGTGTGGCGCATGGTGTGGCGCGCGTGGACGGTGTGGCGCAGGTGGAGGGTGTGGCGCACGCGGACGGTGTGTGGGACGCAATTCATAATCAATGCTTCGAGTTCGCGTTGTTCGGTAGCAGCTTTAGTTCGCGGCTTCTACGTACCTTACTTGCGGGCTAATATTTCTGAGGAGATAAATTTGAGAATATAAATACTTTGACCATATTTATTATAGGCTATAGATAAAAATATTGATAGTTATGTTGCTTTTGTATAATCATAGTCTAGATTTGTTGTTGACTTAATCTAATGATAAATAATGCAACGGATCGGTAAAAGGTGCAATACACATGCTGAATAAATAGCCTTTCATTCTACCCTCAGCCGTTACAGAACGGCGCTCGTTGTGTCGTCTCCAGTCATGCACCATGTATTTTTTCGAAGTAGAATTCCTTGTGAAAATATACAAATAAAATGTCCAATCGAAGGACAAATATCTGTAGAAAGTTACTTATGTTTCATCGAAGGTGCCGCTAACTAGGCAGTAGCGGTACCTTCCAGTAATTACAATGCGGTAGTAATCGGTTGATTCAACTTATTGGATTTTCTATCGGTTTTAATTATCAGGTTAATGCGACGTTGCTCTGCATTGTACAGTGGAACCCCGCCGTATGAACACTCTACCTTACGGCCAAACTGCCTTACGAACCCGGGGATGTAAAATGTACAGAGTAAAAACATGTTCCACAGTACGACCGTGGTTCGCGAAAGATCGCCTGCCCTGCCATGAAAAAAACTGTGCTTTAGCATAGGGTTGCCGACTTGGCCAAAAAGTACGGCCGAAATATAGAGTACGATCTCCACTGTTGGGTCAGAAATATGCTTCAGACAATAAGGAAAATATTTTGTTCTCCCTTTCGTAAGTACACAATATATATACATGAAAGGGGGGAACTTTTTGAGGGGGAGGGGTCTGTACTCAGCCGACACGAATCTGGGCGCTTTTCGGTAATTTTAGTGGGAACAATTTCTTATTACGAACAAACCGAGTTCATTTACGAATTAAGTTTGTAAGACGGGGCTCCACTGTATAATCACTGAGCTCATGTCTTCCAGTATCCCAATGGAGAATAAGTTCAATATTACGCTATCGGTTGCGGCAGTTTAACGCGACATCGCTTGGGAGGTGCGTGTAATTTATAACACGTTAGCTCGGTAAGTTTGAATGATTATATTATTATTGGAAGCCCCACAAACACTCTATTTCCTGCAAATATCTTCGGCAAAATCTGATATTACAGTTCTTCATATCCTGGATAATCCGGTGATATCTCGGGAACTCTGTTGTGATCTAGGATTCTCATAATTCCCGATGGTCCTGGTCGCATCCCAGATATGCTGGAGACATGCCAACACAATAGGCACGATAAGCTTTAAAAAAAAAAGTAATAAACATTATTGTACTGCTGAAGGAAGGTTAGTTAAAAGGATTATTGCTTACTACTGAGTTACTAGATATTATCGGCGAATCAGAGGCGTCAGGCCTAAGTTCGCTTTGTTGCCGGTGATGATTCATCTTCATATATCTTCATTTCCAATTGGGTTTTATGCTGGTATTTTGTCATCATGAACCTAGTCCTTTATTTTCCACCCCTTCATCAACCTTGTATAGGTATGACTCATATTAATCTCATGATTAAATTCAAAATACTTAATATTAATGTATCGTTTAATCCCTCTCCAGAATTGCGTAATATACCACAAAGAGGTGACATTTCATCACTGCTCTGCTGCACCACAGCTGCGTGCATCTAATGCATGCGAGAGGCGATAGTGTTTGTTTTTCATTATAAGAAGTCTATTGTGATTTGCCATGAAGAAAAATTATGGTAATAAATAACGGAAAGGAATAAGTGAGTGGGACTCTCTTGATTGTCGCGCCATGTCCTCATCACCGAGCCAAGACCCTTCCGCCCCCGCACCCTCCGCGGAGGCCTCGAAACTGAAGCAATATTTCCCGCCAGTCTCGAGCTGCAGCCCTTTCGATGCCTTGTCCGGGCTGCAGACCCTTGATTCCACGACCATGAACCCCGCTTACATGTCCCCCACGGGGACACTCGCAGGGTGTATCCCGTCCCCCGACTCGTTCTTAACCCCTGCGACGGAGCAGGACGTGTTCACGGCAAGCCTCCTGTCGAGTGACGCCGACCGCCGCCACGACGCCTGGATCCCGTGCGAGCAGACGCGCCTCGCCCTCAAGGCCCTCGAGAACAACCCGCCAGGGATATACTTCCCTGAGAAGGAGCTCCTCACCATGCCAGGCATCGCAATCAAGGAGGACTTTGTGAGTACTCTTGCACTCAAGTAAATTATTGGGTCCTATTGTCCAAATAGCGATACACTTTCTCACCCACTGCACGGGCAGAGAGCGGACGTAACGTTGATGGACAATTTTGCATAGCCGAATAGACAAGGATGATCCACTGAAGGGAAAAGAGTATTGCTATTTAGACCAAGTCATGATCATTTATATGAATGTTCCTTCTTACCCTCCATCGCTAACGTGTTTATCAACGTATTATAACGTAGTCAAGGCACTACACTTCGTCGGAGTATTATATTTACAATGAATGGTGACTTGGCCCTTGACTTACCGCACAGGAATTGCGAAAAATTGTGCGCATCTATTGTCCTCACAAATATCCTGACATAAAAATACCCCTTCAGAGATACTCTACGTACGTTAAAGCATACTATTTACATGTATTGAACGGGTGCCGCTAATGACGTCTTGGACGTTCATATGTGGCCGACATTCCCTGAGCTGACCGTTAACCTACTTAACGACGTGCCAGGGCGACCCTATCAAGAGTCTACTACGGACGTACGTCAGTGAAGACGCAGCGTCGCGACGTCAATGCCTGACGGCGACGTCCGTGACACAGGACGACCGTGGCCTGCGACGTCTCATCAGCACGGGCTGCTACCACGCGGCCGTCAACCTCACCACGCAGCTGCTGACGGTCTACGGGCAGGGCGAGGGACGGGCCGGTCACCCCAGCAAACATACCGCACACTCCATACAGGTAACGGGCTTGCCATACAGGTAACGGGCTTTTCCTGCAGGTAACGGGCTATCCCTACAGGTAACGGGCTTCCTCTACAGGTAACGGGCTCTCCATACAAATAACGGGCACCCTATGATGTAGCGGGATCCCTATAAGGTAACGGGCTACCCCTACAGGTAACGGGCTGGCCATACAGGAAACGGGCTGACCATATTGGTAACGGGCTAGCTATACAGATAACGGGCTGATCATTAGTTGGTTCACAGCTGCGGTTCACGTGGCTGTTTCATTACTCTATCATTGGTACTGTGCTCTGGTTCACAGCTGCGGTTCACGCGACTGTTTCATTACTCCTACCATTATTACTAACTGCCTTCGGTTCACAGCTGTGGTTCACGCGGCTGTTTCATTACACTACCATTGCTGCTAACTGTGCCCCGGTTCACAGCTGTGGTTCACGCGGCTGTTTCATTACACTACCATTGCTGCTAACTGTGCCTCGGTTCACAGCTGTGGTTCACGCGGCTGTTTCATTACACTACCATTGCTGCTAACTGTGCCCCGGTTCACAGCTGCGGTTAACACGGCTGTTTCATTACACTACCATTGCTGCTAACTGTGCCTCGGTTCACAGCTGTGGTTCACGCGACTGGCGCTGCTGGTGAAGCTGCGGCGGTTCTCGCTAGCTGAGGTCGAGTGCGAGCAGTTCAAGTCTCTCGACGCGCCCGACCTCTACTTCGAGTTCTACCCCGAGCTGTACGGGGGGCGCCGGGGGTCTATGGTCCCCTTCTCCTTCAGGTGAACCTCCTGCAGAGGTAGATGCTCAGACAAAACTACTGTAGTGATAGTTCAAGCCCAGAAATGATGAGTAAAACTGCCCAAAACTGCTAATATAACTGTCCTGAAGTACTGAGTAAAACTGCTCAGAACTGCTAATATAACTGCCCTGAAGTACTGAGTAAAACTGCCCAAAACTGCTAATATAACTGTCCTGAAGTACTGAGTAAAATTGCTCTGCTCAGAACTGCTAATATGACTGCCCTGAAGTACTGAGTAAAACTGCTCAGAACTGCTAATATAACTGTCCTGAAGTACTGAGTAAAATTGCTCTGCTCAGAACTGCTAATATGACTGCCCTGAAGTACTGAGTAAAACTGCTCAGAACTGCTAATATAACTGTCCTGAAGTACTGAGTAAAATTGCTCTGCTCAGAACTGCTNCTGCCACCAGGTACCTGCTAGCCACCTGCCGCCAGGTACCTGCTAGCCACCTGCCGCCAGGTACCTGCTAGCCACCTGCCACCAGGTACCTGCTAGCCACCTGCCACCAGGTACCTACTAGCCACCTGCCGCCAGGTACCTGCTAGCCACCTGCCACCAGGTATCTGCTAGCCACCTGCCGTCATCTTCTTCACTCATTTATTGTCCAGGGGTCATACTTTCAAAACTGGCTAAGCGAACGTAAGTACCTACTTACGCCATATTTTCTTGTTTATGATTGGTGGATTTTGCTTGAAAGGCCATCAATGATTGGCTGATGAACTTACGATATGTTAACTTTTTTTTGAAAGTATAGGCCCATGTGTTCAGATCGTCCGTAACCTGCTCGCGGGTCTGAGCGAGTGCGGGGAGAGCGGCGCGCACCTCACCCCCGCGACGGCCGACGACGCACTGAAGCTCTGGCGGGCGCGCACCGTCAGGGTGCTGTACTCCATCACTGCGGTTGCCGCGAGTCTTAAGGTGATCATTAATGAAGTTTTTAAAGTACACTTCAACCAAGTAACGTAATTTTTTTCGGTTATCTTTTTAACTCTTCAATGCAACCTCGTGGCAATTAATGCTAGTGGGACCTCAACTTTGTGTTGTAATAAATCTATGTTTACACCTCATATTGTATGAAACCTGTCTGTTTGAAATGTGTTTTCCTTCGCTGCTTTAAGGTAAAAGCTAGCAATTGCCATGAGTCTCAAGACGAATAAAAACCAAGATGCTCTCAACCTTATGGAGATAATTCAGAGATATTCTACCCCCTTAGAGTACATAAAAGCAAAGATGCCTTCTGTCTTGAGCTCAAATTGATGCGAATGTGCCCCAGATTTTACAAATTTTAGTCAATGGTATACGTAAAGCTAAGAATGAAAAGCTTCCTAACCTTCTCAGGACTTCCGGCTGTGCTGGTGGCTGCTGCAGACGCTGCTGCGGGAAGACCCTGCCAGCGCTGCAGGTCTGCACTCTGCCCTGGGCCGCCTGCACCTGCACCTGGGGGACACTGCAGGTGCCAGGAGCTGCTTCAGCAGGTGCGTACATCTGGGGGACACTGCAGGTGCCAGGAGCTGCTTCATCAGGGGCTGTTGCAGGTGCTACAGCTGTAGCAGGTGCTGTAGCAGGTGCTGTAGCAGGGGCTGTAGCAGGGGCTGTAGCAGGGGCTGTAGCAGGTGCTGTAGCAGGGGCTGTAGCAGGGGCTGTAGCAGGGGCTGTAGCAGGTGCTGTAGCAGGGGCTGTAGCAGGTGCTGTAGCAGGTGCTGTAGCAGGTGCTGTAGCAGGTGCTGTAACAGGACACATAAGCTACAAGTACGCTTTTCAGAGTCTCCGCCTGCGGGCTTAAGCATACCAGAATGATTAATAAAGTAAAAAGTTAAGGGCCCCAAAGATATATTTCACCACTCGTGGAGTGAAAATAACTTGAATCAGAGTAGAGGATAATCTGTGACAATGAAACAAAATATTTAAGTTTTGGCTCTATTTTAAACAACTTTATTATACCATATACACACTTCAACAAATAGAAATTATATTATAGACTTCAACATGTATTTACAGCGTCAGCTAATCGTAGCCCAGCTTACTGATTAATAAATCTAACTTCCAAGTAAACATGTATCCGATAACTTCTAATGATTTGTCATATATGGAGAAGTGCGGTGGCTTACAACTGAAAGTACAGCCAAAACTTGGCTAGCAACAGTGCGTAAACCTTGAAGTTGCAGGCTGACTTCCTCCACTAAATCCATTATCCTTCCTTCATCACCCATACACCACCTTGTCACCCGTAATCCTCGCTTCCTCACCCATCTCCTCCCACCCACTCCCCACCTTCACCCACCTCCTACCACCCACTCCCCACCTTCACCCACTCCCCCACCGGTGCCTCACCCTTGCCTCTCCCGCAGGAGTGAGGAGGCAGAGCGTGGGTCCTGTAGGGCGGCGTCGGTGATGCCTCAGGTGCACGCCTCGTACCTCGCCATGGCCGACAACGACTTCAGCGCCTCCGTCAGCCTCCTGCGCGAGGCCTTGAAGACCAGCCCCAACCATCCGCTGGTGCGTTAAGACCAGCCCCAACCATCCCCTGGTGCGTTAAAACCTGTCCCAACCATCCTCTGGTGCGTTAAAACCTGCCCAACCATCCACTGGTGCGTTAAAACCTGCCCCAACCATCCACTGGTGCGTTAAAACCAGCCCCAACCATCCACTGGTGCGTTGAAACCTGCCCCAACCATCCGCTGGTGCGTTTCCGCTCCCCATATGTTTGTACAGCCCCCCATTTTCCGCTCCCCATATGTTTGTACAGCCCCCCATTTTCCGCTCCCCATATGTTTATACAGCCCCCCCCATGTTTCCCACTGCCCCGCAGGTGGTGAACAACCTGGGGGTGGGGCTGGTGTACACGGGGCAGGTACGTGAGGCCATTGCAGTGGTGGAGGCGGCGCTGGGGGCGCAGCCGGAGCGTCTGGCGCACGAGAGTCTCGTGCTGAACCTGGCGACGATGTACGAGCTCGAGTCCTGCCACGCCACCCACAACAAGATCAAACTCCTGCAGCTTATAGCCCAGCACAGGGGCGACGCCTTCGCTGTCGCTGCACTCAAGTTACACTGAGTTGCGATAACTTGCTGCATGATATCAACTTCTTGGGATCAAGTTGGTGCATGAGCACAACTTGCTTCAAGTTCAGCGAGCAGCAACGTCTGCCGATAGCAAACATGACGTCAACTTACATCAAACACAACGACTCGTCCGCGCTGCGACGGTGATGCGTGGTGCCGTATCTGGGATACCGCCACTACACCCATTATACCGTATCAGGGATACCGCCACTACACCCATTATACCGTATCTGGGATACCGCCACTACACCCACTACCCCGTATCTGGGAGACCGCCACCACACCCATTATCCCGTATCTGGGATACCGCCACTACACCCATAATCCCGTATCAGGGATACCAATCTCTGTCATTCGGGGGATATAAAATGAAAGCATCTAGTCTTCAGGTAGCGAAAGCGAAACAATAATCCCAGCATTTTCCATTCTGTGTGGTTGATTACAAGTAAAAAAAAATTCAATCTGTGTACCAATTCCGTGGCAGCTGAAAGCTTCGTGTGGATGTTGTAGAATTGTCCTCCGTGAACCCTCCGACCTGTAATCTCAGAATTTTTTTTTAATAAAACCTTCTTTGGCGTTTGTGTTTATTCGATACTTGCCTATACTCTGACATTTTCTTATAAAGGCTAAATACCACAGATAAATCGTATGCTGCAGTATTTATATTTAGTGCTCAATCATTGCTCATCATCAGCATGAACAAATAATCTCTATTTTAAATTATAATTAGAATGTTAGTTCCACTTCGAATTGGCCTCATGCGTTTTAAAACGAGACGCCACCGTGAGACGTCACTAGAACGCATCTTCAAAATAAACTTTAATTAGCAGACATTTACTTAATTGTTCTTACTTCTAGATTTTGTCGGCGATGAGAAGAAACGAATTAGTTTCACTGTAAAGATTGATTTATTAGAGTTTACTTAAAACAACGGATGGGTTAAATACTTCAATCCCTACAACGCTTCAATCTTTCCATGTTCCGTGAAATACTGTAGCTTTCACTCCAGTAAGGCTATCATCACTCCAGCAGATCCATCATCACTCCAGTAAGGCTATCATCACTCCAGCAGATCCATCATCACTCCAGTAAGTCTATCTTCACTCCAGTAAGTCTATCTTCACTCCAGTAAGTCTATCATCACTCCAGTAAGTCTATCACCAGTAAGTCTATCATCACTCCAGTAAGTCTATCATCACTCCAGTTAGTCTATCATCACTCCAGTTAGTCTATCGTCACTCCAGTAAGTCCATCATCACTCCAGTTAGGCTATCACTCTCTTAAACACAACAATTTCTTCATTTAATACTTTAGTTTAGCTAATTTAAAACTTCTAACTTTACAAATAAAAAATGTTGTTTTATATGCTCGTCAAAATAAAAAGAGTTGAATAATTCAAAACCCTTGATTTTCTCGGAACTTGACAGCGTTTGTGAATAAATATGCGGTGAAAAGTTATACTGAAAAGTTGAAGGCTGTTTTGACACTTGTGATGATGCGCGTCACTAGCTGGTGATTGCGTTGACAAGCTTGAATGAATAATATGAATACGTTATGATCTTTAAATTACGCTGTCAGGTGAACTAAAATGGGAGACTTAAAGTCTGCATGAGTTTGTAATGAGAACGTCGACTCGTGTCCCAGCGGTGACTCAAATAAATCAATGGGTATTATTGTCCAAAAAGTGGCGTACTTTCGGCACGTAGTACTGATACGCCTATTTTCACGGGCAAAACTGGGTCAGGATGACCCACATTAATAAAAAAAATAGGTCGATGTTTGGACAACATTGTATTCAGTTCTCCAAGTGAGGATGAATAGCGAGGTCAGAGTGCCGTAGCCTCGATTGAGTAATGAACATTGGCGTTGTAGCTTGAAATACTTGAGTCTAGAATACGCGGTATCACAGCCTTTTTTTATTCTGGTGCAGTAAATTTGAGTAGTAATAATCATTAATAAGCTCTGTAATTTTTCTCGAATATCCAAAGTTATTCGCTGAACCAGTCCGCAATAATTGAACAAAGTCTGAAATTATTTACTGATGTCCGCCGTGATCCATGAATTATTCCCTAAATTCAGCTTTGAGTTGCTAACTGCTCATTGACTTACTGAACTCAGAAACGTTTATCTGGACTCTAGTAATTTACTGAATTCAGCAAAAATTTACTGTGCCGCGAATTAGGTAATGCGGCTTTGCCGCTTTACCTGAATTCAAATTGCTGAATTCAGTGGAGCTGAATTCAGCACAAGTGGAGCTCCTCAGGCTATTTATTTTAGCCCTGAATTGTTGGTCCATCCACCCATAGGGGAACTTGGGGGTCTTGCGTGCGCTGATAAGACCATCAAGACCAGGCCAAGTCTCAAGAGGTCTTGAAAAAATTAGACCCAAAGATCACCAAGTTTTCGAAGTGCGTCCACAAGATCGTCGGGGATTTTTAAGATCTGACCCCCCGACAGCGGCGAGGATAAAGAAATATCGCGTAAAAATTTGTCTGTGAAACGAAAACTCGATTTTTTTCGCTGCGACAGAGAGCGGAAAAGAACGTCGTCGGTTCTTGGAGAGGCAGACAGTCGGATGCGTGCATTAGGGCGGCGATCCCTGGCGGGGTTGCGGATCTCGTGAGATATCGAGCCTGGCACTCAGATCTGAGAGCCGTCTTCACGATGAGACGGATCTCTAAGTTCTGGATACCGTGAGACGGTTCTGAAATCTGAAAGCTCTCTTCAAGTTAAGAAGTATCTTTCAAGTACTGAACACGGAAGGTTTAAGTTCTGAGTGAGGCTTCTCTGTGAAGAATCTTCCCATCTATTCCTTACTTCTTCGAGGATAGTACTAGAACACGCAAATTTTCGTGTGTATAATGTATATTAAGCTGTTTCTATGAATAAATAATGTCTAATTATTAGATATTAAACAGAAGAGTCTAGTTTATGAATCTCTGTTTATATTCCAAGTATCCTGAGTTTAATGCGAAGCATGTCTTCAAAGTATATAAGTACCGTTTTGATATGAAAAATTTGGTCATCATTGCATCACTCACAATGTTTTCACCAAACACTTCACTTATTTGACGATGAGTGTCAACTGATTTGAAGCCTTGAGCCCGAGGAACGCACGCACAGGCTGCGAGATACTCAGTACATGGAGACATTTTAAAATTACGTTAACAGACGTAGACTCGATCGTATGGTTCCGTTATGCATGGCGTCCGTGACTTCCCCAAATAGTGACTCTCTTGCACATGCACAGTGCAAGCAGAAAGCGGACGAAGCATTGATACGTTCTTCTTCCGTCGTGGGGATGACGCACAACGGAGCAAAGAGTATACATCGCTATTTGTACATTGTCACACTCATTTCTACGAGTACATTTAATCACAATTTTAGTCAGTCTTCTGAGCGTCTGTAATGAGGGAAGTTGCTTTTAACATCCTCAGATGCTGGCGTTGAGGAGAGGACCGGTTCTTAGAACCGATTTCTTTGAGAAACTTGTAAGTTTGTAAGTTTTAGAAAAACTCGGGTTAGCCTATTGAGAATCTTTAAAAAAAGTTTTTCCACGCAAGATAGTGTTCTGGTTGGGAAGTTCTAGTTCTATACGTAACTGTGACTTATTTTACGAAAACGATGGAATCTTGAATTTTTAAACATTGAAAGGAGTTCATTTTCGCGATATAATTTGTCGTTGTTTATCTCTGGATGTGATAAACGTCCGAATATTGACACACCTTCGGCATATGGCACCGATACGTATTTTGATGGTCCAAACTAGGTCATTATGACCCACACAATGGCAAAAAGGCATAGCTTTTTGGTTAAATAAAGTCTCACTTATTTCTCTCAGTGTTCAGCTCGGCGGGCTCATCAGGTACCAAGGCTCCAAGTCCAGAATTATATTTCGTTGCCGCGGCGTCGATTGCAAAAACTTTCGCGGCCACTAAAAGTTTTGAGCGGCAATTGAAAAGCGGCTACCAAACTCCAAGAGGAGGAGGGAATAACTTTAATGTTGGGACTTCTTTGGGACTTGGCGAGGATTTAGAACTTCTGGGATCATCAATGCAAGAGGCAATTACATCAGCCAGACATACTTGTTGATGGGGCTTGGCTTAAGAAGTTATAGAGAATATAAAAGAAAAATTTCCATTTCGGAAGCTTCCCGGTCTTGTAATACCAATTGAATGTCATAAATAACGTTAACCGACGGTCATATCTAGAGGTTGTGTTCTTAAGCGCGTGTATTAAATGAATTGACGGAAAATGGTTATGAACTGCTACAGATGACTGAAACGTGCGCGTGCAGAACAAACGTGCACAACAACAACAACAACTAAAGAAACGACGTGCTAGTGCGTGCGTCATGACGTGCAACAAACGACGTGCACATCTCGCAGACGAAGCAAAATTCAGATATTTATTGGGAGCGTCAGGCGGCGACGGCGGACAATAGGCTTGCAATACTGCAATACTGCCACGTGCGGCAATACTGCCACGTGCAACAATACTGCACTACTGCCACGTGCAGCAATACTGCAATACTGCCACGTGCAGCAATACTGCAATACTGCCACGTGCAGCAATACTGCAATACTGCCACGTGCAGCAATACTGCAATACTGCCACGTGCAGCAATACTGC